AAAAAATGTATTTTTGTGTGACGTATAAAGAATGAAACAAAGATGCTTAACACCTCTTCAAAAGTGTGAGTCAATGTCATATAAAATTAGAAAAGCAGAAGCTGGAAAGAAGAGGAAACATATTTAGTGTGAAAAAAGGGGGAGGTACTGAACAGAGGCTGTGATACTGAAGTTATTTTAAGAATATAATTTTTAAAACCATAAAAATACAAATTAAAGTTTGGGTTGAACTGGAAACCAGCTTAAGCATTTTGGTGAATTTCTTCCTTTTCATCAAATAACACCCAATAATTATTGTGCCAACTTTACCACAACATAACTTGATTTTCTCAAACCAGCATTATAAACAGGGTAAGTATTCTTTGGTACAATTTTCTGAGAACTCTATGAACTCAGATGGATACATAAATGATAGAAAAACATATTGGTTAAAAAATACTTCATAAAAATGTATAATTCTGTTAGTTTCTCCCAGCCAAAACCCCTGCAAAATTATTACACCTAACAGCTAGTTTATATTTTATTTGTAAGGGAAAACACCCCAGAACACTCATTAGAAAACTTATTACACAATGTAACTACTGAAATCTGTGGAAACTAATTGAATAGTAATGACAGATAAGTTTCTTATGACATACAAAAAAGAAAAGTTATGGTGAACAGCTTTTGTTTGCATATCACAGATGTGTTCACCCTCCAGTACTTTGAGTCATTAGTTTCAAGAGAATAACACATGAAAATAGAAGAAATATAGTCTTTCTTTTTAATTTATTCTGTTACTTGCAATATTTCAATTTTTTTAAAGTCAGTAATATTTTTATGGGTCTCCACAGCAAAATTAGGAGAACTTCATGAATTATGACATTCATGGATGTAGCTTAGAACAATAACAGCAAAGCTGTTGGACATACAGTTTTGAAATAGTACATTTAAGCTTGTGTTCCTGTAGCCGAACTGGTGAATAGTAGAATCAGTCAATAATTTTATTCTTTCCTGTTTTCTTGCAGGCATTTTGCATACTAGCTCCATTACTTTAATGTAATGTAATTTGCTGTGGTTCAAATGATTAATTACTGTTACTGTAAGTTCTGCTAGATCAAGCTAATGAACATTCAGCACAATTTCCTGTCACTTCTTATCCCAGCTCAGTCCCCCCATCCCCACATATAACACACTTCCAGCAAAAATAAAAGCACACAGAATAGAACCTTAGGACTGGCTATGTTTGTCAACTATCACACAAAATTTTCCCAAACCCTTGTAAGTATCACACGCTCAAACCATTTAAATATACTTAAAGCAACCTGTGATTCTCAAATATTTATACATCTACATCTTCCATAATAAATCTTTACTGTGGCAATGACAAAATAATTCTTCTATTTACCTGTTCATGTACATTTTCTATTATTTAATAAAGCACAGATCAACAGCTTGAATACAGTGCAATTCTAAACAAAGAAAATGTTTAAAAATCATTAATATCATTTTAAAAAGTATTTGAGTCTTCTCTTTTGGCCTCTGTTTAGCTGTGCTAGGCCTGTGAATGACAGCTTCCCTGCTTGAAGCATACAGAAAGCACAGCCTTCCTCATTCACTGTCAGTACTATGGCCTTTTCACACGTTCCCTCCACAGCAGTGTTTGTCCCCAAACACTGGAACCCAGCACAATGGCATTCCTACTTCAACACCCCCACCAACAGCACCACTACATATGAAGAATGCTAATGAGATGGACATCCCCCATCTCTGAAAGTGTTAACTATATCCCATACTATCAGATATAATCCTATCTCTATTGTTACATATTACATCTCACTTAAAAGCAATTTCATTTTGGCGATGCTTTTTTTCTGAACATTTTTAATAGAAACTATGGTAGCTTGACAAAAAAATTAAAAAAAGTCTTACATGCATTCACTCTGTTGTGTATATTATATACATAATGAACTGATTTTAACCTCCAGATATACTTAGGGATCTCAGAAATTCCGACACTAACACACCATATTTAAAATAGCAAGGCAAAAGGCTAACATCTGAAATATTAATAACAGAATAAGTCTAATAGTACTGTTGTTTAAATTTTACTTTTTTGTTAGAAAATTGTACTTTACAGTCACAGAATTCACGTCAATATAAGCTTTTTCAAGATTTTAGTGAAGCTTATAGCTCATTATACAGTTATGTAATTGCAGTTAGAAAGACTTTAAAGGAAAAAAACAGAAGGCTTTTGTAGTAGTGTTTATATGTATATACTTTTTTCCTTTCTCTTTTATTTACAGAAAAGCACAAACCATTTCCCAAAGTTCAAGTACTTTCTCAGTTTTACCTGTTTTACTTCACCTATATTATTCTCAAGGAATACTATTTGAAGAATAACGATTTTCCTCTTTGAAAGGATACAAAGACCACAGCAAAGAGACGATATCTCCTCACTGTTTTCTTCCTCTGGAGCAAGAAGCAACAGAGTGATTATAAAGACGACACTGTGCAACCACTGTGCAGTGTGGACCAGAAACTATGTATTTTTTTAATTCAATACATGCATTTTAAACTGAAGTCCAGACAGACTTTAACAGAATTACATGTATTGGCATATTATCAGTTGTATGTGCTATCTGATTTCAATGCACAGACTACAGTGTCTTAGCAGAGTAATACTTAATCAAAGAAGTTTTCTTTTTTTTACTTCCGTTCCCTTTTTACTTAAATGAAAAAAACAAAGTAAATACAAATAATTCAAATGTCAAAACAACACTGAGATAAATAGAGATCAAGGAAATATATTTAATGTTGTCAAGTAATGGCTAGACTTTATATTGGTATGAATACTGTAGGCAGTCATCACAGTATTATGTTGTCAGGCCTTAGCACAACAGGACAAAGTGATAGTATTTTGACTGAATGTCCTGGTTCTTTTTAACATGCGTCCTAATCTTCTATCTGTATCATATCACAATGTGCTCTTTACAAAAGAAACTTGTTATAGCTATTTAGCCAAAAAGGTCAACATCAGCAGAATATAGTAAGATTATAGTGAGAAGTATTGTTATACCTACAGTACAACATAACCTGTAGTTATAATGATTTCATTTATGTTCAGTACTACATGACTTTAGTTAGAAAACGGCTCGAAAAATTGAGACACTTTAAGCTGAATTATATGTTGTATCTTACCTTTGAAGTAGTATACTTCAAAACAACACAAGCTTTCAGCACAATAACTGCACAAAACATTTAACATCCTTATGCTGTAAAATTTTCATTTAAGCACTTAAACTGGTTTGAAATGTTTATTAAAATATTTTAATCATAATATTTTTGTAGACAATTAACTGTCATAGCTGACCTGACACTTATCCTTGTAATCTGGACTCTTAAATGTCCAACATGGTTATACTGAACATATGTCTATATGCAAGCCTTTCATTATAAAGAACCATTTGTCTTCAGAAGAGAATTCACATAGACTAAAATTATTGTATTTTTCTTGTCATTTACAGTTTCCAGCTGAACACTGCTGGATAATGACCAGAGGAATGATTAAAATAAGTTAAATTACTGAAATGTCTTTATACATTCTTTACAGAGAAAAGCAAAAAAGTAGCCAATAAATGACTTGCATATGAATTTTTATTTAGAAATTCCATTGTCTGTTTTGTTGTACTAATTACCGTTATACTTGCTAAATACTTGTATGCATTTCATATATTTTTTTTCTAAAAGAGTAAATATTATATGTTAAGGAACTGGAAAGTCGCACATTTCATTTCTGTAGCTTTGTGACACGCAGCATTGTCTTAAAAGTGAAGAATTATCAACAAAAAGAGTAAAGATATTTCTCACTTTTTAACATATCACTGCACTGACTCAGAAATATTCTGCAACAAGCTCTTCTTTTTTTCTTTTCTGCTTGTTTTTCTCTCTCACACATGCTCTCCCATTTTTGTTTTTGTTTTTGTTTGATTTCATCTTGCTGACCACTATTAGCTCTAGAGAGGAATAGTCTCTTCCAAAGTCAATTCTCATTTCTCTTTATGGATCTGACAGCAGGAGGTGCTGTATAAACAGTGTGACTGACACTTCACTTGCACCTCTCCTCCCCCTTCCTACACAGACCGGTAGCTTGATCTAGCTGATGCAGTCATTCTTAACTCTGGGGCCTGAGATCATTTTTAAATCTAAGGTTCCTAGCTGTTTTTTTATTTCTATACAATACTTTTCCTGGAAAATCTGTACGTCTACTATTTTTATAAAGTACTCACCTAATCCTTAAACATATGTACATTCTTACACATATAAAAGAAATTAAGTACCTATGCTGAACAAGATCAGTGGCTTTTTACTTATAGTTCCTAAAATAAAACAGCTGATGAACAAAAAATAAATCATCTTATTGCTCCTTAACTATCAAACAGTATATTCAGAATCTGTTTTCTCTGTTTTTCCAAACTATAATGCATGTCTGTTATATTTATTTAATGGCACATGTATAGTAATTAAAATACTGAGGTTTTAAAATATTATACATTTCTTTGATTTTCCATAATGCAACACTAGTTATACTTAGAAGTGTTTTATTTATTTATTAAAAAACTGTTTCAACTAAATAATTGTTTAAACTAGTTATATGGGAAGATCTATGAGACCATTAAAAACTGCATGTGCGGAGCAAGCAATGAAAAATGATTGCTTTAGAGAATTTCCACATAAGGAAGATCACAGCTAGGCACAGTATGCAGCAAGAAAAGATGAGACATATGACATCCCACACCAAAAGAGAGACACAATTAACTCCTTTATTGTTGGCTTTGCAATTACAGGAGAAGCATTTAATTTTCCTAACAGAGACTGCAGCTTACGCAATTTATGTCACCCTTCTTTATGACACAGTGCATATTGTTGGTTTTATACAATTACTACATTTGAAAATGAAAACAAAAAAGCAGACTTTTAAAGAGTGGGACAACTCACCTGTTTGCAACAGTTTGCAGACTTTAATCGTTGGTGCAGGGCCAATAGAACTCCTTGGACAGAAATCTTTGCTCCTGAGAGGCTGAAACCTTCTTTCTTACAGACCCACACAGGTCCACACAAAGGTGTGATGGAATCTTGCAGGCATCTGTCAAGCAGAGGAGCTATGCAAAGAAAAGAAGAAAAAAAAAAAGAAAATGCATTCTTTTGACCCAACTGAAATACACAGCCTCTAACGCAGCCTCAGCATCAGAACTAACTCTTAATATCTATTATTTATATCTGACCTGGGTTAAGTCTTGGAAAAACAACTCCTGCATTTCTAGTGGCCACCATGAAGGACGTATTTATATTGAGACACCCCCCATGAAAGACTCATAAGCTTCGTGAGCACACCTGAATAGTTCTGAAGTGTGCCTAACTAGCTGCACGGAGTGTCATGGTGTGCACTGATTGCCTTATCTTCTCATTTATCACAGATGAGTTGGAACCAACCTTGCTGAAATCTACTTGTATTGTCCTGATAAAATTGCAAGATCCATGTTGTTTCTGTATACAGTTTCCTCTTGAGGAGCTTACATATACCTAAATATCATAAATGGCAACATTCACAAAATATAATCAACACTCTCATAGCCATTTTATTATAACCTCATTGCCACTATTCAAAAAACAACTTCTAACAAATAAAAATGCTCAGTGTAGCTGTTTAATAACGAGGAAAGGTCAAATGAAAAGATAGATAAAATTGATTCATGGCGGTGCTCTCAACAAGATCTTTTTCTTGCTGTTCTTAGATTTCAAATCACTGCAAAGGTTGCAAGCATTCTCTCTAAGGGACCTAATGTCAATATGTGTGACAAACAGAGAATGATTATTTTGGCTTCAGGCATTACTGAGATGCATGTGCTTTGCAGATATTTTTGTGTAATGCATACATGGGCCTTTCTTATATAACAAAATAAAATAGCAATAAGTAGCATTTCAGGCTTTTACCTGATACTGTACAAGGGAAGGAAAGGGGAAGGGGAAGGGAGAGGGAGAGGAAGAGTGAAAAGGAAAGGAAAAGGGAAAGGGAAAGGGGAAAAGGAAAGAGAATGAGAAGGGCAAAGGGAAGGGGAAAGGGGAGAGAGAAGGAGAAAAGGAAGTGGAGAAAAAGCAAAAAATCACCAAAATCTGGTTTTACTAGTAATATACAAGAATACACAAAAAATAAACTGTATACAGCAAATTTGTGAACAATGCAAATAAAATTATATACATAATTTTCCCATCTAGTCAATCTATGGCCATAAAGATTATTATTTATCTTATAGATTTATATTGTGGATTTCCTAGGTACATAAATACTTACAAAGAACTACAGGTTTTGTCAGAGGAAATACCACTGGATGAATTACACTTTACATATTTTATTGAGAATAGGAGACAAACATTCCATTCAGACATGACAAATATTTAGCCTCAATAGCTGTTCAGTCAGCTGTTAGAACAAACAGAGTCTGAACTACAGCCTTAGTTAAGAAACTTTCATATGTGAGTTCTTTTATAACTGGAGAATTTTGGACAAATACAGAAGGAACTTATCATACAGTTAAATCCATCTTCAAAGATAAAGAAATAGGTAAACATGCAACAGACTGTATTTTGCCTCTGCTGAAGTCTGTGTATTTTATGAGTGATTTAAGCACATGGTTAAGCAAAACCATATGTTTAATTTTGTGAAAGGCATTACTTTTTAAAAAATCATGCTAAAACCCAAGTCTTCTGAATTCCACAATTTTGTGACATAATCTTACAATCTAGTCAGTAATTTTATTCATTCTCATAAAAATAATATTCATTCTCATAACATAAACAATCCTGAGGCTTCCATACAGTATGCTTACTTCTCCAGTAGATATCCTTGCACCCACTTCTGTCCTGCACTTAGCATCAAATGCCTTTTCTGACGTAGTTGGCAAAGACATTCAAATTTAGTTACTTAAATCCCACTGAAGTTTCAACATTCCTATGTTATTTACAAGACTTACAATCTCCGTTCAGCAAAATACACAAATAGAAGACTAAATAAAAGCACTACAAAAGTTCTGTTCAGATCTAAAGGACTATCTACATGGTTAATAAAACCCATTTGAATAATCTCTTGAATGAAAACCTATCACACTATTCTTCCAAAGTAATTTAGAATTGTCTCTAAGTCTCACATGTACTTTCTCTTCATTACAGAAGTGGAAAACGGTAGACAGAAGTTTGTATCAATGGCAAATGGGAAGAGAGAGAAGCAACGCAAGAAGACATGTGGAGAGATACATACAAGGGTTCAATGCTCTGCAGGGACTTAAGAAAAGAAAATGAGGTGAAATCCTGTCCATACTTCAGTTTATGATAAAAATCCCATTTAACTAAAGGGAGATCAGACTTCACAAAATAAAGCGGATGGGGATTCACTGAACAAGGTTAATATGCATATTAACCTCCTCTTACTGGTTATCCTAAAAAGTAATACTGCAAAACTTTTTCAAAATATGCCATCAAAGTAAAGACTCCAAACCAGAATGCATACTATATAGCATTAAATGTTTGCTTTTAAAATCCAGTTTCTCAGGATATGGCCATGCAATTGAACATGAGTAAAAATGATTTCAAGAAGACAATCAGTGAATTAATACTTTTCCAGACTATTCTAATAATGCACTTAATCCCTAACACTGAAGTCAGACAAAATTAAGAAGATTAGATGAGGTAATGAATGAGGTCTGACCAGGAACACTGGCAGGAGTGAGTTTACTTCAGGACTAAGCGAGCAGTATGAGAATTAAATCTATTTTTCCTATTATGTGATGAGGAGTGGTTATAGTCATACTTAGCTCAAACAAAGTAAAAGGACAAAAATCTGATCCCAGTGAAGTCTCTGGAAGTTTTACAAATAAGTTTTTTTACTCGGTGCTTTTAACTTAGTTACCATTAGAAAACAATTGCAAACAGAAATAAAGAGAACCACAAGTAGTGCTGCTTTTCTGAGTGTGAAACACAACTGTGAGAAAATGTGTTTATACTAGAACTGGATTTTACATCTGAACACTAATTGTAATACTATTAACTATTTTACCACAAATAATTTTACCAGAAGCATAATGTGGCCATGCTGATTCAACTTCTCTGAAGGTAGTGACCTTCAGAACCAGAGAGGGGACAGTTGCAGGACCTGCCGGCATAGCTCTGAAGCAAAAAGATCAGAAGTGTCACCTCTTTCAGACATGCCTAACACCCAAATTAGTGTATCAGACCCAAATAATTTTCTATAAGCAATAATCATTTCCATAAGCATCAGCTGCTTCTACCTCTAACAGTATTTGCTTCATTCCTCACTCAACCTTTTTGTTTCCAGACTTATAGTCTCAAACAGCTTGTATTCTTTCATTTTTCTCACATCCTTTGACCTGCTTTTTAAAATTCCAGAAATCAATGGCATTTAAGTTATTAAGCATTCACTGAAGTATGAAACCATGTGTCCTTAGAAAGGTAAAGGAATAAAGGTAGAACAGCAAGGCAGTCATTTCAGAAGATTATACTTTTACTGAAATACTCTGTAAGTTTATTGCTCTCAGTATCTGGTTGGTGATTCCAGAAGATGTCCTTAGTACTCTAGATAAGAAATTCACTGTTGCTCAAAAATCATTCCTAGTTTAGGATCGTTTATGTTGTTCTCATGTGGAATTGGTGCAGGTATGCAAGAATAATAATTTTCAATTAACACCTAGCTACTTCCAGACTTCCGGCTATTTTGGTGACTTACCTAAAGCAAAGAAGGTATTAGAATGAACCAATACCCTTTTGAAAACTAGAAGAGTGTCAATAATGAGTCCATAACTATCTCTCAACTCCACTAGAGTACTTTGATATCGTGGCTTTACACAGACCACAGTCCACAAAGCAAGGTGAAAAGAACCTACAGGCAATATTTCCCAAAGATTTGCAAGTCTATTGCCAAGTGTTGCATAGTCCATTCAACATTACAGCTGATCAAACATTACACACATTGAACTATGAAGCAGGACTATGAAGGTAAATAATGTGTTAACCATAGCAAAAGAAGGCAAAGGCTAACCCTTGGAAAGAAAGTCCATGAGTTAACTAGTAAGGTTTAGGAACAACTCCTCATGATGTTTGTCTCTCAGCAGGTTAGAGATTTTACTGTGAGGTACTCATGGAATTGCTTAAGAGGGAGTGATGACAAATGAGGCCTTGATCAGAAAGTGAAATAAATTTTAAAGGAAGGAAACTTCCCTTCAAGGGAAGCTGAGCAAAGCAAGGTAGTCAGAAGTTATGGAAAATACTTTGATAGACAGAATCCCTTTTATCTATAATTTTTCTGCAGAATTTAAAATACTGCATTAGAACTTATCTGCATTTTTTCTTTTTTAATTGAATAAATTTTTCCATTGCAGCAGTCTTAGCTGCTAGTCAGCCATGGATAAAAAGAGGTACCCAAGGTTCTTTGCTCCTCAGCTAATAAGAACAGTCTAAATATACCTTTATTGCTTTTATTCTCTCCCTCATTGATTTTTTTACTTTATGTCATATGACAAACATCGAGTTTCCTTGAAGAAAATAATTGTTTTACAGTGTAATTTTACACTCCTCTGAAGAACAGAGATGAGAAATTTTCCCTAAAACAAAACCCAGAGATCTTAAATTGATGGAGAAAATGGCATGAAGCCACTGTGGCAAACAGAAGAGAAAAATCTGCTTTTTTCTTTGTCTGGTCTTTAAACTTGCTGAAAATGATAACAGTGCAGTGCTGATCAAATGGAGTGACAGAAAGCATGAAATCCAAAGCCCAGTAGGATATCCACAAAAAGTAAGCAGAACATTTGTAAAGGAATGGGAAAATCACCCTCTGGTAATTTGCAATCATCACAAGAGGACTGCAAAAAAAATCAAAACAAATCCCCCAAAATTCAGTTTGTTAACTTTCTTCTTACTTAAACTCATGGCATTATTGAAGCATAAACACTAGCATTATGCCTAGTTCTCTTCTACATCAATTTCTCTTAGCAAACAACCTAGAAAGCAGTACAAGTATTTTTGTAACAAATAACACGATCAGAATAACAGGAAAGAAATAATTAAATATTTTTTCTATGGGGAAAAAAATCTT